TCAGATGATCTGCACAGGCGCATGCCCAAGTGGGGTTTGGAGACAAGTTTCAGCTGTTGTGCACAGATCCACAAATGTAAGCTACATTAAAGTTCCTGTCTAAAACTGGGACATCTCTCCTTGCCCTGTATTCCTGCGTTTTGTTTTGTTTGTTTTTCTTTTTTTCTTTGTTTTTAAACAGAACAGCTTGTCACCTCTCTACTAGAAAACATAGATTTAACAGTTGAAGTGTTCAGGATTGATCATTAAGGTAAAATATAGAGATTAGTTAACATATAGTCACACCAGAGGATGGTCCAGAATGATGTACAACCATTTTGTTCTCCCTGCACTCACTGACTTTGCTCAGCAAGCTAATGTGTAGTGCTTATAATTGATAAATATGTTTTCTAGTAGGGGGTGATGAGTTGTCTTCTTTATTTAAAAAACAACAAAAAACAGAACAAACATATAGACGGAAATACAAAGGAAGCCCAGATGTCCCAGTTTTAAACTGGGACATGAACAAAGCTTACATTTGCGGATCTGTATTAAGCTGGCAGTGTGAAATTCGGCATGTGGCATGATCAGATCAGGCAAAGTCCAAATTATGTAGTTTTGTGAGTGTGTGAGTGAGATGTTATGTGTAGTTTTAGACATTTGTGTGCACAGAAAGATTTTTGAAAGGGAAAAAGAAATGATTTGTAAAGCTAGACTTAATACATTGTGCAGAAATAATCACCCTTGTAGGTTTGGATGTACACATTTGTAAAATACTTTTACGTGTCACCAAATTGTTTCGTATTTTTGCACAGATTGGAGCCCTCAAAAGTTACACACTAATCATTGCACACGTTTATAAAAGTGTGCAGGCCGCTGTCCTGCTTGTTTTCCAACTAACCTGCCCTTGTAGCTTCTTATTGGCAAAGCACACCTGATCCAGGTAATCAGCCGCAGGTGGGGCAGGGATATCTCAAAAACTAGCAATATAGTGGTCCTCAAGGACTGGAGTTTGACACCCCTGCCTTAAGCATTTATATGAAAGGGGTGGTGTTGACAGCTTCTAACCAATCCTAAAGGGGCATTTCATTTAAAATAGGGGTGTCCAACTCCAGGCCTCAAGGGCCGGTGTCCTGCAGGTTTTAGATGCAAAACAGCTGATTTAAATGACTAAATTACCTCCTCAACATATCTTGAACTTCTCCAGAGGCCTGGTAATGAACTAATCATTTGATTCAGGTGTGTTGACCCAGGGTGATATCAAAACCCTGCAGTACACCGGCCCTTGAGGCCTGGAGTTGGACACTCCTGATTTAACATGAATACATTTAA